CGAATTAAAATTCAGCGGCTCCGCTGGCTTGGCCATGTCGTTCGAATAGACAGAAAGGCTCCTGCTCTGAAAATATTCAACGCGCGCCGCGATGCTGGTAACAGGGGAAGAGGAAGGCCTCCTCTGCGATGGAAAGACCAGGTGGAGAAGGACTTGGCTTCACTTGACATTTCTAATTGGCGTCAGTTAGCACAGAAGAGAAATGACTGCAGTTATTTATATATAAAATGCGGTAGGCTTTTATAAAAAAAATTAAATATTAAAAAAGAAAAGAAATATAGACTAAACTGGTTGAAATAAGGCGTTTCTTTTATTTCTGCCACGAGTATTATGAACTTCGAACTTCTTTCAGCCACACAATACATATGTTGACTTAAGCTTTTTTTGCACCAAGCTTTTTTCGATGCCTTAAGTTACTTTATCAGAAATGCGTATAAATGTAATCACTGTCTTTTGTTTTGTTTCTAATGAAATATTTTACAAATTAAATAATAAAGAAGATTTCAAACCCATTTATTTATTATTAATTATTCTCAAACTATATTGATGCAATTTTTTCATTTTACGTTGTTGGCAAATAATGAATATCTAAATTCCGGGACTAATCCCGGGATCCCGGGATTGTATGAACAATATCCCGAAAATCCCGGGATCTCAAAAATCTAAAAAATTAACATCCCTAGTACATACGCACACATGTTTCTATCTGAAGTCTGTTTTTGTTTTCATTAAGTGTGCTCAGAAAGATACTGTCAGGTGCTGCCCAGAAAGCTCCAGGATGCTTGCAAAGACCTGACGGCTCCTGGACTGAGACCGAGGATAGCATGCCGGTACAGCAACATTTAACTGGAGATCTGGTCTATTGGGATATTTAAGCCCTATAAATTACCAGGTCCGGATGGCATTGCCCCCATACAGCTGCAGCAAACACTTCAGCTAAGCTCAGCGTGGCTACACGCTATAATTAAGGGAGTATTAGCTCTTAACCATATCCCTAGAAAGTGGAGGGAATCAAGAGTGGTGTTCATCCCCAAGGCAGGGAAGGTGTCTCACAACAACCCAAAGGATTTCAGGCCCGTCACCTTGTCGTCATTTCAATTGAAGGTTATGGAGAGACTGGTGGAGGTACGTATCAGAGAGTCGGTTGGTGACGGACTGTCTACCACACAACATGCTTATACGAAAGGTAGATCTACAGAAACGGCGCTACATGAAATAGTGTCGCATATAGAGAGATCACTAGACATCAAAGAATATAAGCTAGCAGTCTTCCTGGATATAGAGGGCGCCTTTAACAACATCATGCCGGGCGCGTTAACGGCAGCACTGACGGGCCTGGGCATCGACTCGCGCTTAGTTGCGCTCGTAAACCAAATGCTGAGATGCAGGGTGGTTCGGGCGGAGCTGGCGGGGGTATCGTTGACCAGGATCGTAGAGAGGGGCACCCCGCAAGGGGGAGTCCTATCCCCTCTATTATGGGTCGCAGCGGTAAACTCACTGCTGTGTGGCATGGAGGGGGGTGGCTGTAAGGTTATTGCGTATGCGGATGATCTTGCACAAACAGTAAGTGGGAAATTTCCACAGACTCTATGTGACCTTATGCAGGTAAAACTGAAGGAAGTCGAGAGGTGGACAAAAATAACGGGTTAGGGGTAAACCCAAGCAAGACAGAACGTGTACTGTTCACAAGAAGGTACAAAATCCCCCCATTGATAACACCAAGGCTGGCACAGAACACACAAAAATTAAGCGAATCTGCTAAATACCTGGGGATAGTCCTGGATAAAAAATTAAGCTGGATTCAAAACACCGAAGAGCGGGTTCGGAAAGCCACGGTTACCCTTTACAGCTGCAGGAGAGCAATCGGCCAAAAATGGGGTTTAACCCCGAAGCTAGTGCACTGGATATACACCGTCGTGGTGAGGCCCATACTTCTGTACGGGGTAGTGGTATGGTGGCCAGTGCTGGAGAAGAAAGTAAACAGTACTAAATTACAAAAATTGGAGAGAACGGCCCTGATCTGCATTAGTAGTGCTCTCCGCACAACACCTACTATGGCAATGAATACGATCCTTAACATCATACCCACAGATATTATGGGACGACAATACGCTGCGTTTGCAGCCCTAAGACTACAGGGGCTTAAAAGCTGGAAAGCGACTCGTTGTGGTCACACTACAATTCTGAGAAACCGACAACTACCGAGTACAACGGACTACTGTGTACCAAGGCTCACTTTCACTAAAGGTTATAGCGTAACGCTACCTAGCAGAGAATCATGGCTCGAAGGAGTTCCGGGGTCTAGAGGTGCCATAAGATTCTACACGGACGGCTCCAAACTAGAAAATAGGATAAGAGGAGGCGTCTACTCGGAGAAACTGGAAATAAAAAGATCGTTCCGACTACCTGACCACTGTAGTGTCTTTCAAGCCGAATTGGCAGCCATACAAGAAGCCGTTGACAGCCTAAAACTAGCTGTTATCGCCACTACGGAAATATATATATACTCAGACAGTCAGGCGGCCCTTACGGCGCTTGACTCTGTCACTATAAATTCGGAAACAGTTGCCAACTGCCGCAAATCACTTAACGTGATGGCGGAGCAGTTCGCTTTGCACCTGGTATGGGTACCGGGGCACAGTGACATACCAGGAAATGAGAAGGAAGACAAGCTTGCAAGGGCGGGTACTTCCTCTCCACTTTCACCAGCCTGGAAGAGGATGGGTATGCCACTCGCTTGCTGCAAGCTCTTACTAAGGGAGAGATTCCTTGAAGAAGCGGCCTCCAGATGGGAGCGCACTAAAAACTGTAATACAACGAAGCTTACATGGCCAAAATGGGATGTACGGAGATCGAGGGAAATTCTCACTCTCAATAAAGGCGATATGTCACTGGCCATTGGTCTGTTCACAGGACATATCCTGATAGGAAGGTACGCAGAACGCCTCGGGGTTAGTCACGACTACTGCAGAAGCTGCCACGACGAAGAAGAGCCTGAATGAATAAGGCACTTACTCTGCGATTGCCCAGCACTATGCAGGAAAAGACAGAAATTCATAGGTATAGGTCTTCTAGACGATCTAAGCGCGACTGCTAAGTTTGGAATATGGCAGTTTCTAAGGTTCGCAGACTCCACGAACTGGTTTAAGGAGTAGAGGTTTTTTTGGATCCATGTGGTATCACAATGGGCCCTGATCGGGCCTAAGTGTGCTGGCGCCCTCTGGGCCTAGCAGCCACTTCAACCTAACCTAACCTAACCTAAGTGTGCATGTAGGAAGAAATAAATTTTAGTTCTTGAAAAATGTTGCTTTTCTTACTTACAATGAAATACATAAATGTACGAATGAATTTTATTTATTAAGTAGTTATGGAAAAATCTAATTATGGGTTATTTTCAATGAATTATTAAAAAAAAAAACATAGTAAAACATACAATTTACATGGTAGTTTTTCTAATTCTTTTGCTTCCGTTTACCAAAAGGCAAATATTTCGCTTTGCGACAATAGCAGACATTCGAATATTCACTGTGTTTCGTCAGATATTCGTACACTCATTGGCGGCAGTACAACTGTCTTGTATCTCTTTGTACAACATGTGTCTCTTTTTTTTTTTAACCAAGAAAGCAGTACTTACTATTCTCTGTACACTCAATCATTCATCTTGCTTGCTAAGGGTTGAATGAGCAAACCGTGTGGAGCACAAACGACTGTCTCATAAATGCTAACCACTACATTCTTGCAGCTGTCTAATGTACAACAATATATTGTAAGACTTAGCCTGTTGGAAGTCTTCATCGGATAAATTTAATAAGATCCTATTTTTCTTATTTTTTCAACTTGATCATCGCTGATTTCAAAAATTTCTATGAAAGTTGCCAAACATGTAGTATTTACCTAAAAGAATATTTATTTTCAAATAAATTTGCATCTCTTCTAATGCAATCGCATTAATATTATTAATATTGTCGAAGTTAGGCAATTTACGGTCTTGAATTTATATGTGTGTATGTACCGGAAGCTCAGATTTTCAGTGTGGATAAGGAGCTCATCAATATTTACTAAAAATTTATATATACAATGGCTCTTAAGCAAAAAAAAATTATTTTTCATACAAGTTTAGGAAAATGTGCGTGGCACCGCCCACTTATATGATATGTGCGCGTCCCAAAAACTACTTGATCGATCTCGACCACATTTGATATACAAATTATGATTAGCCTTTTAAGCACCATCTTCAACACACCACATAAAAGTTTTTTTTTTTCAAACAACATATTGATAATAATTTTTTTGGGTTTAGTCAAACTCAGAATTTACTTTCAACAATTTTCTTTTTCACATTTTTGGAGCGTCGCGGCGTTAACTAACTACATTTATTTTATAGATCGGCAGTGGAATTCTCTAAATGAAAAGCGGTAGGGCCTAAAAGTATACAACATGGAAGAGTAACACAAGCGACGCGTAATCAGCAAAATCTGGCATTGTGGCGTCTGCTATCCTTTTGGAGATTTTTGGCGATCAAAATTAGCGATAGCAAATGTTGGAATCTGGCTGAAGGATTCCCTTTTTTACGAAGAAAACCAGCAGGAAAAATCATAACGTGCGATTTTCAGAATTTGTTTTTAAGTTTAGGATGACTATTCTGATGACTAGGTATTCTTAGAAACTATGGGGTTGAAATAGGAATTAGTGGTACGGCATAGGCGAAGCATTTACTAGATTAAACGAAAAATTATAGTTATTTGTGAGAGGATATTTCTACTTCTATCGAGGGTCAGCTGAATGAACTTACGTTTAACGGCAATGCAAAAAACGTGTCAAAACATGCAAGCAAAACGACCATAGCTGTGATAAAATAATAAATCGCTGCAGTCCGTTTCGATGGAAATATAGACGTGATTGCTATGCTCAGTATCGACACAAACAGTCCACATATATTTGATCCCAAAACTACGGCTCCAGTATATTTAAACGGATGTGTAGCAACCATTCCGTAAATTGTATTTTGATAAATTCCTCCGGCCACTGGGAAATAAAAACAAATATGTGTGGAAGTTAATATAAAAAAATTTTTATTTGAAAACTTACTATTTAAAAGAACAACAGTGATCATAGTAGTCCAAAAGAAGGCTCCACGCCAATTGGATGAGTCGATCATAGCGAAAATTACGGTTAATATAAAAAGAGCTAATTCTAGCAATATGCTGAAAACAATTCGCTTCGTTAAATCACCTCTGCAAAATATAAATTACTAAAGATTTTGTAAAAATCTATTAGAAATTTCATTACCCTAAATTAAAAAATATGTTTAACCAATTAAATACTACATTAGGAATTTGTGCGGCGAAGTTATGATATTGCAAAAAGTTTGAAGCGTAGGTCGAAGAGCTAGTAGAGTTTATTCCATCAGCTAATTTATAGTCCACAAAATACTGCAAAAATAATAAAGTAATATGAAAAAACTCTTTGCATTACATACGGCATTACTTACACTTTTGGCAGTTATGAACATATTCCACGGCATTAAAGTACCTATGCCATGCACAACAAATATTAGCAAAACAAAATTCCATTTGTCCTTTGGTGGTTCCATCTTAGTTTCTAAGGAAAATCAATTTTTAGTTCGGTTTATTTATTTATTTAATATTAATAAATACATGCACAACAACCAGAGGTTATGAATTACAGTACATGTGCATAAGTATGTGATAAAATTTCTTAAACTATGTATAATCACTTATAAATCAATAGGAACTAAAACTAATAGACTACTCTTTGTTGCTTAAGTAGAAATTACTAAGTATATGGGCAAATATCCGGAGCCGTATGCTTTGTGTCACTCACCTTTAAACTAATTTTATTAAAGTAATTTTACTTTTTATAAAAAACTTGGGGCATTTTGAAAACAAATTTGATGAGTTCTTGTAACTTATTTATTTTTTTTATGTTATTTGACGAGTTCTTGTAACTTATTTATTTTTTTATTGTAATAATGTCGTTTTAATTTTTATAAGCGATCAAAATAATTAAAATTACAATTTTGGCTACCTTTTGGAGGTTTTTTGAGTATAACTTTTTCAGCGCAAAACGGAGACTTTCAAAACTAATGGCAAATAGTAAATGTAATATTGGAAAATGCATTAGGCGTTGAGAAAAATATGTACTTCCGATTGGAAATAAACTGAAACAATTTAAAATCTGTCACTCGTAATTATCAAAAATGTAATATTTCAAGTTCTTTTCCATTTTAAACTTTCAGCAATTGCTAAATTGTTTTTATATGTTTGCATACATATTAGTTAAAGATAAAAATAAGACCTTTTACAGCTGCGTGCCTTTGAAAATATTGGAAATATAACAAATATTGTCTGAATACGTCTTTGGGTGAATGGCTTCAAAATTTCCCTTTTTTGATGGCACACTGACAGACTAAAACATAACAGGTTGGCATTAAGCGTGATCGTTAGATAACGTTCTTCACAAAATTCGTTGAAAATAACATAAAATAATTTTTGCCTAAAATACAGCCACGAATTTGTATGTGTGTATGAAAGGATTTTCAGATCATTGGGCAATGGGGTTAACGAATTTTTAAATATTTACTGCAAAATTATATTTTCAATGGATCTTAAGCGAAAATTAGTTTTTCCTAAATTTTTTCTGAAACTGGATTTGGCCCGCCCATTTATGTCAATGTTTGTTTCTCGAAAACCACTTCACCAATCTGTACCAAATTTAATATACACATTGCGTCTAACCTTCTAAAATACTGCCTTGAAAATTTTTGAAATCGGACAAAAATTGCGCTTTCTTGAAAAATCAGTAACATTGAGTTTTCATAAATTATCGTTTTTTACTTATAACTCTTTAAGCATTTGGAAAAATGAATCACACAAGAATCTAATATTTCCTCAATGGATTTCAAACAGTTTGATGTATAATTTATTAGTGTGCGTTCAATTTAAAAATTTAATTTTTTTTTGGCGTTTAATCGCATGGTTCCGGCTTTTGTATTTTTTTGAGAAAAATTACTCTGGCTTGCATACACAACTTCTAAAATGGGCAAAAACGGCATTTTTTGCATTTATAGGTTAGAATATCTCAAAATCTGATGTGATAGAGCAATTCTGTGGCCAGATTTGAATTCAGCGCACCGAAAACATTCGGGAAAGTATAGTCTGGTTTCTGGGTAAAAATTTTGTCGGTCTGTTTTTTTTTTTGTTTTGATGAAAATGAATTACACCTATATATATCGATTCATGTATAAAACATAGGTGTGCCCACAAATCAAAAATTTAACCTTTTGTTTTGGAAGTGTACGTGTGTTTTATATTTGCCCATATACATAAGTACATTATGTTTATATAAGTATATGGGTTAATCTCCGGAACCATGCGATTAAACGTAAAAAAAAAATTAATTTTTAAATTGAACTTGTACTTTAACACCTTTTTTGTATTTTTTTTGAGAAAAATTACTCTGGCTTGCATACACAACTTCAAAAATGGGCAAAAACGGCATTTTTTGCACTTATAGGTTAGAATATCTCAAAATCCTGATGTGATAGAGCAATTCTGTGGCCAGATTTGAATTCAGCGCACCGAAAACCTTCGGGAAAGTATAGTCTCGTTTCTGGGTAAGGAGTTCGGTCTTATTTTGTCGGCCTGTGTAATTTGTGTTAAAATTACGCTGTGCAAGTTGTAACTTTTGCGAAAAGATAAATTTTTACCTGTTTAAGCAAACTTCAAAGCTGTGAGGTTGTGTTTGTTTGTGCTCTCATTTAATATCTTATTTTGCAAGAGTTTTAACATTGAGTAAAGTGAAAAGTATCAAGAAACGTTTGGTGCACAATTTAAAGCGAAGTAAAATAGCAAAATTTCTAGTGAATTTGATCAATTTACTATAACATTATTAATTGTGTGTGTCGAGTCTTTTCTTTTATATAATTATATTGTTGTTGTGAATTGATTCTGCTTATCCATAATTACAATTGTGTTTGTTTGTGCACATTTATTTTGCTCTGTTTGTCATTTCTGCTATTTCATCCTTGCCACAGCTGTTTGCTTTGTGTTTATTAAGTGTCAAAAATACAGTGTATTTAAAACTGTTCCCTACATAGAATTCAAGTCAGCTGATTGTTTTCTTTTGCTACATCGCTTTTGTTTGCCTTTTTGCTTCAAATATTATATATAAACCTACAAACATATCCATAGATATAATTTCAAATATGTCGTGTTTACGCCAATCGTCACGTTAAGAGTGACGCCTATGTGTCATGCTGGCTTTGCGATGAGATTGGCCATATAAAATGTGCTGGTTTGAGCGGTAGGGTGTTAGACGCTATTAATTGTCAAAAGTGCCGATCAACGGAAGTCGATTTATTCGTAGTTCGGGATTATCTGTCGGCGCTTGTTGAAAAATGTAAGCATTATGAAAAAATGTTTACGTCTTTCACATGCCTTGACAACCCTCCAAACTCCGAGGAAAGTCGAGAAAATAAGCGTAAGCGTGTTATTAGTCCACCTAAAAAGATAGTCACTGAATCTACACAGAAAAATCCTCCATCTCAGCCCTTAGATCTAATCAATCTTTCTTCTCCATGCCCTCAGGCATTGGAGCCTCCGCTATCTAAAGCCATATCCACTAGGTCTACCTCTAAGAATAATAACGACAATCAAACTGTTGATCTAACAGCGTTACCATCCATATCTAACATTGATCCTCCGAATAACTCGGAATTCCATATATCTGAAGCCACTACCAAAATGTTGGTTGTAATTCTTCCGAGAAGATCAATCTTTGTTTCTAGATTTGCTAAAGACAATTCTTCGGATGATATAAAGTCCTACATATCGACTAAGATTAAAACTAAAGAAGTATTTATTTGTAAATGTAATTATAAATACGATCGGATATTTCATCTTTTAAAATTGATGTAGCTGCCGAAGATTTTGATTCACTACTAAATAATTCATTTTGGCCGACCGGGGCGTATGAGCGCGAGTTTGAGTATAAACCTAATAAAAGTAATAACAACGTAGCTAAAATTTCGAATCTTAATTCTGATTCAAAAAACTAACTCGCAATTCTAATTTAAGTATTTACTACCAAACCGTTAGAGGTTTGAATACCAAATTAACTGACTTATATTTATAAGGTCGGCCGCTGTGGTGTAGTGGTAAGCAGTGCACGCTTTCCCTCTGCAACGCCTGGGTTCAAGCCCTGGTCAAAGCAACATCGCAAAAAATATAGGAAAAGGTTTTTTCTTAAGAGCGGTCGTCCCTCGGCAGGCAATGGCAAATCTCCTAGTGTATTTCTGCGATGAAAAACAGCTTCTCATAAAAATACACTCGCCGTTCGGAGTCGGCGTAAAACTGTAGGTCCTTCCGCTTTGTGTGACAACATCAAGGCCCACGCCACAGATTGTAAGCGCCAATCTATTATTATTATTATTATATTTATAAGGTTTTGACTACAATTATAATATTATTTCCTTGACCGAAACATGGCTCAAACCTCATATTTTTAATTCCGAAATTCTTCCAAATGAATATCAAATATACAGGAGCGACCGCGAGGGCAGAATCGGCGGTGGTGTTCTTTTTGCGGTTAGTGTTCCCGTCATTGAATATACCGAATTTAACTGTGTACGTGTACAGGCTGGTGAGTTAACTCTTTGTATCAGTATATACACAGCTGGTCTCTTTACTTGAGTCCGTAAATGCAATGCTTACGCCTTCCGACTCTATGATTATTTTGGGTGATTTTAATCTGCCACACATTTCATGGAACATAATTGACACCGATTTTGTACCAGTTTTATCTAGAGATAGTTACAATGTATTTCTGGAGGAAATGGCTGAACTTAGCCTAAAATAAATAAATATTGGTCCAAATAAGTTTGGAAAGGTCTTGGATCTCGGTTACGTTGATGATGTTCCCAAGTCCTCTATTAATCGGTGTGGTCCCCTAGTTTTGCCAGAGGATGCATACCCTCCCGCTCTTGTGTTAAGCTACGAAATCATAAATGCAATACATAATAATAAGTTGTATAGTTCAAGTACTAGATATGTTTTTGCGAAAGCTAATTTCAGAAACATTAACAAAGAACTTTCAAAGTTATTTTGGGCAATATATAAAGATGACGTCGAGCGTAGTGTTGAACACTTTAATGATACCGTTTTCAATTTGTTTCAAAAGTATGTACCAAAAAGTAATATTGTTCATGAAGAACCAACACAATTATGCTTCACTAAAGAGCTTAAAAAACTTAGAAATAAAAAGTCGCATTCTTTTAAACTGTATAAAAGAACGGGCTTACACAGTGATTACATAAAGCACTCGGTTTTGAGGCATATCTGCTTTGCATTAAATAAGAAATGTTTAAAGTCATATTTATGTAAAATTAAAAAGAATTTAATTAACAATCCTAAATCATTTTATGGTTTCGTAAATTCAAAGCGTAAGGCATATGAATTTCTGTCCGCTATGCACTATCGCAATACTGTGTCTAGCGACAGCCAACTGATTGCCAACATGTTTGCTCAGTTCTTTAGGTCCAATTATTCGGTAGACTCCTCTACGAGTGGACACTATCCGTA